CCCAAGTTTAGAAAGTCTCAACCAAGCCGTAATCTCTTCCCTGGAACCTTCTCAATGGGTATCTCTTGACTCTGTACCCTTCCCTTCCCTTCTGTGTCTACATATCTTTTCCCATTCTCCCTTGATATCTTGAAAAACAGGTTTTGGATGCAAACCTGAATTCTGATTTGGTGAGGTTTATAAATAAAGGTTCATTTGTCCACTTAGGTGAAGTAACTAAGACATTCTGTTCCTGGGGTTCAGGCTTGTCTAAGGCATAAACAGTCAAGAGAACTATGGGATGCAGCCTTTGTGATCAGAGTTTCTAATCACATATGACTGGCAGGGTGGGTCACTTTCCTGGATGGGCAATGATACCTGCCAAACTGGCATTAAATTGAGACCATGCTCAGGAGTCAAAGAAGCTAGTGGCACAAATAAGGCAGGAACTACATACTCTGGCCTGTTCCAAAGGGGCTATGGAAAAACTTCCTGAGTTCTTTTTATGCTTGCCTATTTCCTTATTTTTCAGTTTATAAACTAAATCGATATGGTGCTTATAAAAGTGTGTTTACTATTGGAAGAAGCCAAATCATAAGATGAACTTATTTTCATAACAATTCTCTAGAATCTTTGAGAGCAAACTATTTCCACACCTTTACTTTATAGACAGGGAAACTGAGGAGCAGAGTGTCAAATGACTTACACTTTTCTCGGCAAGAACTGGGTCTCACTGTGGTTAGTGTTGGAGACTGGGCAGGGCCCCTGTCTTGTCTACCAGGTGAGTATTCTGAGTGCAAGATGATCCCTGGCTACTGGGTTTAGCTTCCAAGGCAGCAAGGCTGAATGTGAGTTGGGTGTCTTAACATACAATGTCTGAGGTAATTTGGTACAGGACTTATGGTTAGGAATGGCTGTTGTTTTCCTGCTGAGAAAACCCAATGATAGTAATAGGATTTAAGGGAATTCTTGAATGATTCCAAAAAGCAATGTGGAGATTCTGGATAGAAAAGGAGTTAGAAGAACACCCACTCCTCACTTAATAACATTGTTAGGTCCCAAAGACCAAGTCATTATGCAAAAATGTAGGATGACCTTCTCAGATCATAAAACGGAGGATGACTACATCATCACACAACTACCAAATGACCTTGTTACATAACTGCCAAATTATGTCATATGTAACTGCCAAACCACTGAGAATCCTGACTCAGTAAAGTTGACATACAACGTTAGCCATTACAGCCAGTGTCATTCTCACCTGGCACCTCTAGAGTTGTACTGCTAGACTTACGTTGTTAATGCACATAGTAGTCAGCTAGTAGATTTTTTACTATTGTCATAAATGAAATGTCAGGTATAACGAGATAGTAAGTAAGGAGTACATGTACTGGAGCAAGTGAGATTGACTGGTTCCTAGGCTTTCATTATTTCATAGACTCTCATTTTCTTTGTAATTTAGATGAAGTGAGATGTTAGTTGTATGTCTGTGTTTCAGTGGCCTGCTACACTGATGGAGCTGAGAATTTCTATTTAT